AGGATGTGCTTGCAAGGCTGCTAGAACTATATAAATATTAATTTTCCTGAAAATATCCTGAAAGCTTTGAATTTGCACATTATTAGAAATAATCAGTGGAGATCACCCAGAAAATCTACAGTATCAACAATACTTTAGCCATCAAATAAAACAAACAAAAAGAACAAAAATACCAACATTAGGCAGACCTCAGAGAAGGGCATCCAAATTATTTAGGCCTGAAGGTTGTACCAATTGCAAGAGCTGTTTTGACTATATTAGAACATTTAGAAAGTATAAAAACAGAACTGACAGTTAGTCAAAATGTTTTCTTTAAACTTAAGACAGTTTTCAAGGGGCATGAAGACCATGTAGATGTATAAAGATGTTTAAGAAGTATTTCTTATATAAATATGTGTAGGCATTCAGTTAAATAAACCACTGAAATATGTGCTGTGCTAGACAAAAAGCTTTTTATATCACTGAATTACTATAAGTACAGTATGGTCCTCAAATGGTGCCATCTCAATTGAATCTTTCACATATTTTTGCACACATCTGAAAAACAGCTATTTTTATGATGCATATAAGAAAACACTATATTTTAGACATATAACACTTAGTTATAAAATGTTTACAGATCATGTGCAAAAGTCCAAGGCATGGTCTTCATCCTACATTTACTGATATTTAACAGAATATCAATGTCTTATGAGTTTTAGCTATAAAAATGATTTTCAATCATGAACCCTTACAACTGGAAGAAAACCTATAGTAATGGTTTTGTTTGTGCACATACAAATTAAGGATTTGAATATCAAATTCATCATGGAATTAATGTATTTATTATCAGTTACAACAAAAAATATACTGCAAGAAGAACTAACATGTCCTGTTCCAAGATATGAAGGTAAGATAAGGTTACCAAAACTAAGAGGAAACCTCATTTTCCCAATATCTATGGAAAAACAGTTATTCTCACAGAGTTAATACCTTGGTTATAAGACATACAGTACAGTAGTATATTAACTATATATAATATAGAAAGATACTATATATAACTATAAGAAAGATTGTCATAGCATCAGGGTTATGCAATTAAGATTGAGCAATGTTTTCCTGTACAGTATGTTTAATTTTAGCTTCAATCTTACCAAAATGATCTTAAAGCTAGGGTTCACTGGTTTTATTTTTACAAAACAAAAATGAGCTACTTGTGCAGTGCTTTGAGGAAAGAAATAGTTGTCAAGAAACACAACGTGAAACGGCCACTGAACACATACAAAGTGCAAGCTAATAATTAGTAAAGCAATTTATCTAGATATTACTAACTATGTTGAGATGTCTTTTGATCATGAAGTCAGTGTTTCAGATTCTGGTCAGAAATCTTTGCTTTGTTGTTCATAATCACTGTTGTAAGTAAGAAGCTGTGCTGCTTTGGTTGTTTCTTTCATGTGGGGCTTTTCATCTGGAAGCTTGTCTCATAGGCTATGAAGTGGGAAAATAAGATTAGATTGTAGAAGATGGTGAACGTGGGTTGTATTTAAACGTTTACAGTTATTTATGCCTATGGCAATAAGAAGAATGAGAAGCCGAATTTAACCTGTCTCTGTATTCATTGTGACTTGTAGAAACTTAAATGTCGTTGTGATGTCACACAAAGCTTTTACTTGCCACATTTCTATTTTGAAGTGTTAACTTTTCAGTTGTTCATACTATTTGAAAAATCCAATGTATTCGATACACCTCCTTCTTCCACTGGTCACATTAACATGGGTGTAAGCTGTCATCGTTGTAAAGGTATATGCTTTCTTTGAGGTTTAATTTTGTTTGTTTAAACAAACTACACTTACATGTAGATTTATTTAATGTTTAAAGAATCTACAATCTATTTGTGACCAAAAGCAAATAACACATGCTTATTTTATAAGGCCTGGGGTGGTAGTTATTTAGGCTAAAATAATCAAGCTTTTCATGCTTGCTTCCAAAATAAAGCTTACAAGAGGATTTGAGATTTTAACAACAAATGTAGGAGGAGAGATATATTGCCTCTTCTGAATGCATGTTGGAGCTATTATCTGCCTTAACAGAAATCTCTATAATCTATGTAAATTGCCTGAAAGTAAACCTAAAGATAACATTTTGCAGTTTTACAGGTAAGGAAGTGAAAAGATGGTTATAAGATAGCATTGACAGAATTAAAGCAATGCTTGATAAAGAATACTAGTTTGAAAAAAGGAGGTATTTTAAAAGAAGGCATATTTTAGGAAATAACATACTTTTATTTTAATTCATATACTTCTTAATAATATATAATTCATTTATTTTTCATTTATATAGTTTTTACTACTTTTGTATCTGAGTAGTGAAGGTTACTAAACTAGAACTCTAAAAAGTATGCAACAAGTACTGTACATAAGGATATACAGTGCAACCAATTCATTCTTTACTACTTTTAAATTCAATGTGCATGGACACCTGTGTAGAAGCACGCAAAATATAAAAAGGCATTATTGAAGCTAATAGCACCGGAAAGTGTCCAACAAAAATTTTAAAAAATAAGGCTTGCTAATCAGTCTATCTTCTCAGCTGCTTTTTCAAGGTTCAATGTTCAAAATAAGCAATAATGATCAAGGTAAGCATGTACTATCAGGTACCACAGGCCCAAGCAACAAAGTTGGTTGGAAAATTAATTTTATTTGACTCTTGTCTGCATATTATGAACTTTTTGAAGGCTTCTGACTCTTCTGTGACCCCAACTATTTGATAACATGAAAGAGCACTGGTGATACAGTAGCTGCGACTAAGAAATTTAAGTGAAATAAAATTAGTATATAAACAGCATCTGAAACAAGCTTGTTTAATTAAAATTAAAATTAAAATTAAAATTGTTTTAACACAATAAGAAGCTGCACTATAACTGCGTAATTCTTTCTAGATTTTGATCAGTGTTGATCTGCAAAAACTAAGGAAATGCCTTGATTATCACATTTTTATTACTGTGGCTTTGTGAAACCACTTTGACCTCCCAAGTATGTGTAACTTAATTAAAAGACTTTTTCTGGGAAGCAGAGAAAATAGTTACAGTATATTTGTACTGTACATCAAGGTTGAAGAAACAAATTTAAAAAATAGACACTGTTTTTTAAATGCAGAATATTCATTAAAAAAACATATGTCTGGAAAATGTATTATGACCAGTGTACTTTTTTAGGTTGAAGATCTTCAAACTAATAAAGTTAAGCCCCTTGAGGTTTAGGTGACCATTAGTACAGTCTCTCTGTAAAGCATGAAGTCTGTTACATTATCGCACACTAGAGGGCACTTAGCTCTGCTAAGCTTCACATTTAATCATCCTTTACTGGCATCTACCAAGGAAACCTACTAAGCACAAGTATTACAGATGCTTTATTGATGATAGCTTCTGCCCCAATTTAATTTTTCCTACATAGATCAGATGTGCCATGCCATTATTTATCATTATTATACTATTTCTCAAATATATGTAATAGTATTAACAGAATGCTTGTTTCCTCTTAAAATATTTCATGTTTACCCATTAGTCCTTCATGCTTTGATGTGTAAATTGTGCACATATTTCTAATACTTCTTTTTTTTCCACATGTATTTGATAGTGAATATTAGTTATGGAAAAAAACAACAACAAAACAGTCGCTGTGAATTTGGTTGCTCATTTGGTGCTTTAGTAAAAACTGCAATTATGTTTATACAAGACAGAATTAAAAAATATTTTTAAAACCATATCTTACGTTTTCTTTTGCCTAGTGTTATCTTAAAGTAAGTTGATAGTTATGCAGTGTTCTTCAAAATATCAATCCACATACAGTATGCACCATTTTTTCTATTTATTATTTGTTCATTATATATGTTACATGTATGTAAAATATATGTACAGTATATATAATGTAATATACAATGAAAATGTGTTGCATTTTCTCTTATTCTTCATAAATCTATATTCATTGTCACCACTTATGGTAACAGAACCAAAGCTGGTATAATGAGATGGATGTTTTACTGATTACCTTTTTCTAGATTTATATTTTGAGATATGTTAGGAAACAATAAAAAAGGTTAGATGTATTAAGGAAAAAAAACGTTTAAAACAATTATTTTTACCGTATAGATCCAGCAGTGTCACTAGACATTTGAAGTGACTCTGTTATAACACATGAAAATATATAATAGTCCAATCACTACATTTTACAATTAGCCAGTCACTTTTATAGATGTTTAATACTACAGTATAATGTATTATTGTTGTTGTACACTACAGTACTGTATGTGCTTAACTCTACTGTATATGCCACAAAACACAGGTGATTATACTTGGCTTCAGATTTCACATATTGACCTATTTTACTTGGGGAAAATAGGTTTCTGATGCTTGAAGTTTGAATGAACTTTTTGTCTTGGGTCTGCTATATTTAGCACTTCTTACAAATAGGGTCGTCTTCTTCTTATTATTGTAATTGTTATTCAGATACACTACCGTTGTTACACAAACAGGTATGATGAAAATGTTTTATGAGGACAGAAACGATTCTCCGTTTCAGAAAGCAATGGTATTGTATTGAAATGAGTGCGGGAAGCATTTTCTCCGTTGCAGGTGTCATTGACTGAAGCAAGCTGCTTTAGTATACGGAAATCTATGAAATAACATTCGCGAAGAAATAAAGACAGTGCGAATTTTAATGCTTACCTACTGTACATTATAACTAAGAGTATCTGCAGTTTCACACTGAAAAGCACGTTGACCTTAGTTAGCCGTCTTCGGTCTATTTAATGGTGAAAACCGATGTACCGGTTGCATACAGTAGCTCGAAAAATGAAAGTCAGTCCTCTGCTTTTATTTTCAGTTGTTTTAAAACAGACTGCAATTCTGTCTTTGACAACACCGTCGCCGCATGGTCATAAAAGTTGTGTATTCCCATGGTATAAAAACGTGCATTAATTTCTAAGCGGCGGACCTGCCTCTAGATCAACCCAATGAGAGAGGCAAGGGGAGGCTCCCCGCTCCAAACACTTCTACACATCTCTTCACAGTTACACACAGCAGTCGGGCACGCTGGAGATCTAATACACTGTGGTAGGTTGGTGAACTGTAAGGATTCTTTTCTGTATTTCATTTTTTCCTGGCCTTTTTTTATTTTTCCTAACAGAAGATTTGATCCATTCAAAGGATATTTCTTTTTCGTCTTTACAATGCTGCAGATGTTAGAATATAACAGAGTAAGTATACAGTACTGTACTTACCAAAACACTAACAGGTGTACGGCTGCTTGTAGCAAATAGCTCTCATGCGGTTGTATCCAGTGCCGTGAATAGACCTCAGTCAGTCAGGTCTAGTTTTGCGTTTTGTTTGTTTGTGACCATACGGTAATACTGGATTTTGGTAGAAGACGAATAGCGTATTGAAAGTTACGGTGGAACGAAGCAGGTTGCTAACATTTCCGTTTCAATCCTGTTTATGCTTTTGTTTTGGTCAAAGTTATCTAAAATGTGTCACTTATTTACAGTACCTCCTTTGTTAACTTCGGGTATAGAAACGATGATACTTGCTTCGCAGGTAACATCCTGAGCGCAGCCTCTGGGTATTCACTTGCTTTCTCTTTTCAATAGGATATGCATACCGCATACTTATTTGGCGACTCTCCTTTGTTAAAAACGTACATTTATCTACTATAATTGCAATTCGTCTTAACGCATGCTTTCCGATACAGTAAGTTCACTTGCTACTTACAGTATCACCGCTGAAACGTTCGTTGCATCTCTGTCGTATGAATCTCTCTTGGAAATAAATCAGGATTCCGTCTGTGTGAGCAACTCTGGTGGTGCTGAAACGATGCAAAATGCTGTTGGCCACCGTACAGCACTTAAGTATCTCCCAGAGTTACAGTATAATACCGTTAACTACTGCTATTCGAGCTGAAGCTTAGCACAATTTATTTACATGGAACTTGGAGATCTATCTTATTTTTTAATAAATGGTTTTTATCGGTATAGTGCAGTTAAATATTTGTATTATATTTTGTAATTTGGAGGTTTTCTTAATTAATGTCTCTGTATAGATTGCTATTATTTGTAAGGAGTGACTTTGATAGAAAAATAAGAATAACATAATTGACATACTGTACACAGTCGTATATTCGGTAAATAACTTGACGGGTATGTACAGTACTCTAGGTTGCAAAAGAGCCTGACTAGAATTATTCTGTTTACAGACAGTTGGTTGCAAAAGGGATGTTTTGAATGTATGCCTGTGATTTAATAAAATAATTGGCAAAAAAGAGTATAGAGCTTCATTTTTAACTGTGTGTATAGCTTTTGATTAGTCAAGCATCTGCATGCAATGCAGGGCAGCAACATTGTACCTTATGCAGACTAATAAAATGTGCAGTTCATCCTATTGGTGAATCCTGTGTTATACACTGTACCTAGTTTCTTTTACTGGTCGTCTTGCAGGCAATACATTTAAGCTGTTATGATCCATAGTGGACGCTGAGAAAGATAGCCCCAAGCTATTGCCCAGAGGTAATTTTGTCCATGCTTGTCTTTATTATCGTCATCATAGTAACAAGAAGAGGAGTGAAACAAAAGACTAACACAAGAATAGGCTTAGATTACAAAAGTGTGTAAGAAAACCAAATAATTATTTTAACATACACATTTTTCTGTCCCTGTTTGGACAACTTTTATTTTTATATTGCAGTTTGTTGTTATTATTGGATTTTCATATACAGTATATTGTAAATTGTATATAGTAAAACACTTGCTGATCAGCCTTATTCTTGTAATGGTATAGTCTTTTAAACGTCCATCAAGATTTCTAGAGGTCTTGCTGGAAAGCAAATATAACCTTCTACCATTTAGCGACTGTAAAAGCTACAACGCTTTAAACTTAGCATGTGATTGAAAATAGAAAACTCACCATTTTCCTATTGTTATTTTTTTCTCTTCATCATACTGTAGGTGTAGGAATTTTACATGGATGTAATTATGAAATTATGTGAAGTACAAGTGAGCAAATAATAACTTTTCTGATTGTTTTGTGTTTTAGGCAAATACTGTACTTGTCTGTAGGAACTTTAGTCACATAATGCTCATCACGTAACAGATCACTTAATAGATCACTCATTTCTTTTTGACCACCTGTAGTGTATATTATCAGATCATGTATACCTACAGTAGGAACAAGTAATAGGTTTATTCCATGCTGAAAAGAGAAGAAAGAAAACACTATGTTTCAGCCATGGAGCCTTCTTCAGGTGTGAGAAAGACAGGGCAGTAACATGTATACATAAACAGTAGATATAGTATAAAATCCAGTAAGTTTTGTATTCCATGTTGTTTCTAAGCAGAACGTTTGTATTGCTTGCTTGTTTGGTATTTGGGTATTAGTCAGAGTGTGCTAATGAATCTTGTATTAGCCTCAGAATGCAGTGGCACCATATCTATTACACAGTACAGTACACCTTAAATGGGTGCTTCTGTTAATGTTCTTTTCAGTCCAGTTGCACAATAAAGTTGAGGGAATTGCACTGAGATTAAGACAGCCTACAACATCCTAAGAATCAAGACAGTATATTATTACTTAATGAAAGTGTATTGATTTATTCAATAATTACAAATTTATGACAACTGAATTCTGTCATAACCAAATAATCACCCACTGTAGATCATAGAAACTGTCAGAGTGTGTATCATATATTTGTTTAGAACATATTGAGGGCATACATGACTTGATTATATTACAGATTAAAAAGACAATACAGTGTATATAAAATGTAAGGGATACATACTCTTGATTTCTATGCACTTTGATTTAAATCAACTGCTAAAACATTCTTTTATTTTAAACTTGGAGTTACATTTCATTTTTAAAATGCTTACATAAAGCTTGTAGTGAATAAGTAATTTAACATAATTAGTTATTTAATATAATTAGTATACTGTTTTTTTGTCAGCAAAGAATGGTAGTTAGAACGGTAGCTAGAGCACAAGGTAGTTACAGTACTTGTGATTAAACTGTGAATGCACAACTGACAGTAAAGAAAACATACTGTAGTTCTGCTTTACTAATTGTATATTTTAAAAGGGATGTGCTTTATGGTGACAAGTCTTTGAGTGCTCGTAAAAACTGTTCATGCTGGATCAAAACACTGAGTGCAGAATATGCCTTCGGTCATTACACCAAACAAGTCAACATCTTTACTAGGACAAAAGTTAGAGAATGCTCCAAAGCAAGAGTATTCCTAAATTTGTAAAAGTTGGCTTTTATAGTCAGAGCTGGTGAGTTTTGCAGGATTTAGGGATGCTCGAGGCTTACCAGGCTCTACCAGGACCACTCATCACAAATTAACTTAGCATCAGATTGTAAACTGCAATACAACAGCGACACCAGGATATAGATGCTCACATACAAGCACGTACAGTACAGTACAGTACCTTAATATATTGTCTATATGGATCAAATCTGACGTGATGTTGATCATACAGTATGCTATCAATGACTACCAGAAACTGTCTTGCATGCTTAGATTTGGTATATACAATGATGGTGATGGATCATGAATCCAAGGGTTACATGTGAAGAGAGAACTTTGTCATCTCTTTGTAATGGTTTCTCATGATTGATATGGGGTGACATCCCTGTGACAGCTAGAACAATCTCCACATTTGTTGGCATTTTCATGGATATATACTTGTGAGACAATATAATGTGCATCATGTAGTAGATGTCCTTTCCTTACCTTCATGGAGACAGATCAATTTCCACAATGACAATATCCTGGCTCACCTTCCCTGTGTCATCACAGAATACCTCAAAGGAATGCATGCACCTTTACTAACTGAATTATATAAACTGAAAACATTATGATTGCATTTTTCAGATTCTTTTTGTGCAGTATGGTAGTGTCAGATCTGGATCAATGAAACCTGTCATTTGGTGTTCATTTTGTACGTACAGGTCAGGAGAAGATTTGTCGGTCTTGAACTTAGTCCAGGAATTGTCAGTCACTAGTTAAACTAACAGTCAAATACACAAACCTCACTAAGAATGAATGCAAGTGGATTTATATTCTGGTCAAACTCGAATCTAACACTTTTGAATAATTCTGAAAATATATGCTCTGTAATAACACTTAAATCTTTAATCAGAGAAGTCTTATGTGAAAAACACTGTACTTGAAAAAATGAGATGAACATCCACGAATAAAAAAAAATCAATTTCAGATGTTGTTTGCTCAAAGGTATTGTATGCTAATCTCCAGTACATCGGATTAGTGCTTCACAATCCCTGGATACAGAAGAGTTAGTGCTAGAAGAATATAAAGAGCTGAGTGCATACACGTGTCTGTCTTGTGTTTGTTTTTGTCTTATTAAATGCTTATTTTGTAAAATTGCTTCTAAAACACACTAATAGGCTTTTAATGTTATGATATGCAACAGACTTTAAGACTATCTTGTGTGATCCTGTGATAAGGCAGATCAGCTCTCACTGTATGAAATGACTTTATTCAATGGACCAAAGCTTTATAGCATGATGCCCACTTATTGATGAGGAACATATGTGGTAAATAAGTATTTTTCATAAAATCTCTGGTCCTACATCTTCCCCCATATACAGTCTGTTGTGTCTAAGGTCTGTTGTATCTCAATGACTATTTTCCATGAAAAGAAAGACGTGGCTTCTTAAAAATAGTATTGAGGTTTTGTAATTTTCTTTTTCTCAGTTTTGGAGTTTTATAGACAACCAGTATTGCAACATGACTTTGCATTCATATTGTTTTTACTTTTCTGTCTCTTTAGATCTTTCCATCTGATAAAGCTACAAATGGATGCTCCTGTAAAAAGTATATATCCCCATTCTGTGACTTCATTTTGGAAGAATCCATGACCTTTATTGCACAATGAATGTGAAAGCTAAAATCCGAAGTAGAGAGAAGTAATCTTTTTTTGGGAGTGCTGTTTATCTTGGAGAATAATGCCAAAACGCTGGGAGGAAATGCTGACAGATATATGGACTTCCTTCCTGTTTATATGGATTACGTTGTTTCCGTACATTTCCATGGCTCCCATCAACCAGTCAAAGAGTTTACAAACTGGATCCATTATGGGTCTACGTGGGACTGGCGAGGGACAAAAAATACTAAGTCGTGCCAAGAGAGGATGGGTTTGGAATCAAATGTTTGTGCTGGAGGAGTTTTCTGGACCTGACTCAATTCTTGTTGGCAGGGTAAGTCTTCTGGCATACAAATTGTCAGTTGAATATTAAGCTAGCTTATCATGTGGAAACATTAATTTAGTGATTTAAATACTTTTTCATAACTGTTTGAAAACTTTTAACAGCAATGCAAAAAGACATCAAATCCTTCATGTGCTGGGTATATGCTGTGAAACCAGGGAGTGGGATTATAAAAAGGCTAAATTTTTATAGTTATTGAATATCATGTTTTATTTTTCCTATCTTTACAAATAACCTGTAGAAACAATCCATTTTCCAATACAATACAATTCCCTGACTTATTAATTAAACAATGCTGACTTTTCTTGTAGTCAGGAAATGTGAACTGGTTGTTACAGAATGACCCAGGTGAATCACAGACTTCAGTGTTTGATGTTGTTTTCCCTAAATGTATTGTGCCAAAAACCTTGAAAATGGTCTAACAAATCCCAAAAGGAGCGCACACGATTATTTTCAGTGCAATGGTGATGGGGGAACAGGTAAGGATTTCAGGGAATTGGGCAGGATGGTATGTCTGTTGCTTGTTTATTTTATTGATGCACATGTGTTAGCTTCAACCTGCCATAAACCTTCTCTGACCACGGCTATGTTTACTGGGTGTGTTTTTTTTTAAATCTGTGTACATCTATTCCTTAAAAAAAAATCTAGATTCCTATTTTTTAACTGCAAGCATTCAAGGAATCTGTAACCATTCTGAGACCAACTGTACAGTATGCATACTGCTTATATTTTAAACATTTTATACATTTTTGTAGTGTTTGCACAAAGGCGTTTTTTCATTTCTAGAATCAAGATGTGTGCTTTTAAAAATCTCGTTACACTTTCAATTAACCCCTATAATTATAACTCAAATTGTTTTATTATAGTCCCAACCCACTGCTGTTTATTCAGGTGCCATGCCATAAAGTAGTAATCGGTATTTGTGTAATAAGGAAGCAATCCATTGCAGTTGCAGAGTGTTTCATATATCTGCAAGGATGGTAGTTTAAGAGTCCCTGTAGAACATTTTAATTGTTTCTTTTGATGACCAGAAAATATTCTTACATTTGTTTAAATAAATTGTTATGCTTATTGCACTGGCAAATGCCTTATAGGTATGTGGCCAAATTAGTAGTTTCAGGTTGGCATGACTAAGTTATTGATTGACCATTTGTTTGGTTAATACATGTGAAGCTGTTTTGAGTTTAATGCTAATAGCATAACATAAATTATTGTGCATAAATAAGTAATTTCAGAATACTTTAAAATTTCAACTAATTTATATTGTATTTTCTTATTGTTATAAAAAATGCAGTTCATGTTTCATCTCACACTTAATTTTCATGCTTTACAGACTGCCTCTGAACAAAAGACTTTAAGCAAACTTCAGATAACCAATTCAAAATGAGTTTGAATGACTGCAAAGTTTTTAAACTACTGTACAAATGAGTGACAAGTTGATCAAGGCATCATTGTGACCTGTTGATTGCTTTGATTGAGCTGTTGTGTGTTTTAAAGGTTAAGTATTTAGAAACATTGCTTGCAGAGCACAGATAAGTTCTGTGTTTCAGTGAGATAGGAGCCAACAGAGCTGTTTTAGATTGAGGAACCCCCATCACAAGTTCCCAAGCAGCAATTTCCTCTTGCACTTAATTAAAAAATGAATCAAGTGGATAGAGGTTGTGTGATTAAAATGGGTCATACATTTCAGATCTCTGTGTTTGTGGGCTTGTGGTTCAGGGTTGATTATCGAGGCACCTCAGGCTAAGATTAGACTCATTCCATCTAGTACATTTTATTGCTTCACCCTCTGATGTTTAATTATACATATACCTCCTGTCTTGTCTGTTACTGTGCATTCCTGAATTGCAGTTGTCAGTTAGCAAAGATTAACAGATGCATTCGAGAAAAATACACAAGAAATAGACAGTAACAGTAGTTATGTGACAGTATTTTCTTTCACATGATCAGCTTGAGATGGGCATTATAAATCAAAGAGAAGAGACTAATTCAGGTTGTCATTCAATTCTCAAGAATATTTAGGATCAGCGGGAATTATGTTTCAGGTTAAAGAACAGAACATGGGTTAAAGATGTTTCACAGTATTTAAATGACAGTGTACCAGGTATGTTTTTTTGTCATATTTTCACCGCCCACTATTGTCTTGTATCCGGTACAGTTGTGAATGAAACAAAGTGATGTCTCCAGTTTAAGATGCAATAATAACATAGAAATAGGAACCAAGCAATGTTTTTAAAAAGCAATTGTTGATAAACAGTTTTGCAAAATATTTTAAAATCTGTACATTTACACACTGTAAAGCATTACAAAATGTTTGTATCTATTAAGTTTAAATGTTAAAAATGACTTTATCTGATTTGTATATTTTTTAACATATTTGTCTTAGTTTTATGAATGTCATTTGCTGGTTACGGTGAAAAGCTGGGTTTAGCATTGTCAAGTTGCCCATATAATGATTAACCATAAAACACTAAAATATTTGCAATTACAAATTTAGGACTATACTTTCAAAGGCTTGCAAACACCAAGAAAATAAAGCACCTTCAGAAAATAGTTACTTTTGAATTGTTCTACTTGGAAGCATTGATTTTATTTGGATTACAGAACTGACTCTTTTAACTCAATGTGTTGTGATGCACAATCTTGTTCTACTACTTTGTGTTCTACAACTTCTTTGTATAAAGGTACTGTATGGATTATATTTGGGCTTAGGGGTCTTTGAACATCTTTTATTACTAAAATGTACTAGGCTTTCTTGCTTTGCATCTGTTGGTTGCCAGAAGAGCCTCCAGTTCCTCCGTGATCCTGTGTTGGATAAAGTGGTCAGAAAATCAATGGATGGATGGATTGATAGATGAATATACTGTACTACAGTAGGCTGGTTATTTGAGGAGCCACAATGCTCAACTCAAAGTTCTAGCTATGCGTTTAATAGAATGAAACAAGCAGTAATGAATCAATTAAAAATATATAAAAATACTTTTATTGCATGAAAAAAACAATAATAACTTGCTTTGTATTTTGCCATGTGTGACTGCACTGCTTGTCAGCATGGATGTATTTTGCATCTGTGATGTTACTTTCATTTTACATCTGTTTTGTCTGTCAGTGTGTATGATAATTTATCAGAATGAGTAATGAAGGGCCCTACTCTTAGTATTGTAATACAAATGTATGGAAAAGAAAAAGAGTGCATGATTGATGTTTTTTCATTGTCCAACACCTTTATCTCAGCAATCATAATATGTTTCCACAAAGGAAAATGATAACGATGTATTAATATTCAATGGCACATATTAGACTAAGAAAATGGAGAGATTGTCATATAGAGAGGGATACAATGCTTTGATTATTACTTCAGCACAGAAATAAGAATATATGTTTTAGAATAGGTTTATGAAGAAAAACAGCGTTTATGTGTCCCACAAAAAACACATACACAAAGGGACATTTCAAAAATAATTTTAAATGTAATCCATAGCCAGCCATTCAATATGATTCATGTCAATTCTGCAAATTGTACAGCCCAGAAAGCTGGCACTTTTAGCACATTAGCCATTGTAAAAATAATTCTACAAATATCACCCCATCCATGCAGCATCAAATTGAGCTGGAACTTTAACATTCAAAAGCGAATAATGCCTTTTTTAGCTTTAGTTTGAGACATGATTTAGCTATAATGTTTCTAAAACGTTGTGATTTTGATAAGAGGATCAGAATAGGATCTACTCTTCAACATAACACTCTTTTTTTAAATGACATGATTTACCAATGTAGCTATTTGTTATAGCCACGTTTTCTATAAGAAGAAACTTATAGAATATTATGAAAGAAAATACACTAGTCTTCAAAAATTTAACTTTTCTTTTCCAGTATAGTATATTTGTTTTTTCTATGCTGTTAATGTTATGTCTATATGAATATATGAACTATTTAAACTTTAGTTTTTTTCAAAGGTTTTTTGGAAGAGATAACTAAATTCTAATTTAAAACTGCTGTTTAGCCTGATAATAAAAGAAACACAGCTTTTGTTAGTGTTCTAAATGTCTTGAACATTACTATTTCAGGTATTACATGTTTAAATGGAAGTGTTGGCTATCACAGTCTGAACTAAAATACATTCACATTTCAGCATACTGTACACGGGCATACAGTGTTTCTGTGGTGATGAATATGACTATAGTATGTGCTGATTGTATCTCATTATTATATTTTACACTTATTTTTGTTTAGTAATATACGAAATACATTGTTGGGTTGAATTTATCTAGGTACAAGTCATTTAATGTCAATAAAGTTGGTTTTATCCCAAAAAAGATAATACACATACTACTGTTCCCCTCTTACTTGCAACCAATCTTATCTTCTTAAATATATTTTATTACCATGGTAATATGACTGATTTTAGAAACAGTTATTTTAATATTTTTTGGTTTACTGTACTGTACTGTATTATGGGTCCCAAAACAATTGCAGCCAATACTTACTGTATGTGCTGTAAAAAAGGTGATGTGTAAGCAATCTTAATTAATACTGTATGTTGATAGTTAAAAGTAAAAAAAAAAATTGGAAAGAAATCAAGGATTCGTTCAGGCTAATTCTTATCACATTGTTGTCTAATAAGAAAGGGAAACCTTTTGCAACTGTACGTATGAATGTAATTTAGTACAAAACACATGCCTGTACAACATCAGACCTTCACTGCTATTAATAGATGGTTTTGTATTTATGAGAAGAGACTTATATTCTCTGATTTGTTGAAAAGAAAACTGGAGGTTGTATGCAACATGGAGGTTGTATGAATTGCAACTACTGTACTGTAGCAATTCCATTTTTATAAACCAGAGTGCAACAAGATTTTTCTGCTCCTTTATAAGGCTTCTTGTGAATGTAAATGGAATAATGTATTTCTTCTTTGCAGAGGATATTATCTATAACATCCTTAATGTACCTCCGTTTTATGAATATTGACCGTAAACATATACTGTAAA